ACAGCAGTGTGGGCAGAATGTTATAGAACCATAGCTATCATAGAAAGGAAGGGGAGGGAGCCGAGCGCAAGATTGGGGCAGGGGAGGGGGGAACACGAGGAGGGAGCGCAGGGGGCTGGTGATGGCGCTGTCCCTTCTTCCGTGGTTGGCTGGTGGGCTAGGCTGGATCGTGATGTTCCCAGTGAGGGGGCAGGGCACCTGGCCCAGGGACAGCGCCCCAGGAGCCCAGCCCGGGGAAGGGGGGCCTGACCCTAATCTCCCTCCCCACATTCCAAGCAATCAACATCTGAGCTCCTTTAAGAGATCAGCGTGCCATCCTCTCTGCCTGTGACATCACAGCTAGTTGCCATGGAAACAGCTGTGACATCAGAGGCCAATGACATCAAGCCCAAAAAGGGAATAAACAGCTTTGAGGACGGGGGATGAGATGAACGTGACTCACAGCATCAAGCCGCCACCACGAGGGACTGTCCTCGCTCTTGGCTCCCGCTGCCAGTACCCCTTAGTCCCCACCCTGCAGCCCCGTTATCCTAGCTCTAGGCACCCCCCAACTCTTCTGGTGCCCCCAAGCCTGACTTCAACCACTCTCTGCTGGTAGGAGCTTTGTGGCACACAGCCCAGCCCATTTCCTGTCGCAGACAGTGCCCTGTGCCAGCGGCTTGGTGGAGGGTTTAGGAGCCCTGCCCTAGCACAGATAGGCAGATTAGACATCCCTGTGCCAGGGGCCAACAGGTCCTGTTTCTGTCCTAGCGGCAGAGGCCAAGCCCCTTGCCCACAGGGACCACTGGCTGCTCTGGCCCTCTGCAGTGCTCAGACCCAGCTGGGGTCTGGCTCAGTGGGGCACGGCAGGCAGAGCTCTGAGGGTAAAGCAGGAGGGCTGGAGCTCAGAAGCTCTGTCTCAGAGGTGGTAAGGTTGCATGGTCTGCCCTGAAGGAAGAGTGGGACCCCTTGCAGGCCTGGCACAGTGAAGGGCTCCTCCAAGGCAGTGTTTTAAAGCTAGCACCTAGTACAGATCCATTTCAAGCTTGCCCATCCCCAGTCTCCTCCTCCCCACTCCCCAGTCCCAGCACCGTTCCTGGCCCATGCACCGAGCTTGCATCCCCAGTGCCCAGCCCATCTCACCTAGCAGTGCTCCACAGGAACCCAGCAGACTTGGTCTTGGCTGCATCTCTGCCACGAGATACCAGTGCAATTCTCCATGCATCAGCCAGTTCCCCAAATCCATCCCAGGCTCACCAGGCAGATGGGGAGGTGTCAGGGGCTAGAACTACTCAAAAGCACAGCCATGCCCAAAGAGCCCTGCTGTGACCCTGACACTGGGCCCAAAGGCTGGGAGTTTTCTCAGGAAAGGCCTGTAATGCAGAGGCCATGGGCCACTGACACAGCATTAGATCCATTAACCAGACTGGCAGCACCTGGCTCTGCATGGCTCACACAGAACTGTGGAGGGAGCAATCGTAGGCAGAGATGCCAACCTGCCATGAGCAGAGGAATTCAAGCTCGTGTTACTCAGCAGTTTGAGCTAGTCCTTGATGCCACTGAATAGCCAAGCTGTCATCAGCAGGCTGGGGGGGGGCAGAGGTCCAGACTCTGGCACAGAACAAAATTTTTCCCACAATCTACTCCAGTCTCTGATATCTTGCATCAGTTTTCAAGACAATCATCCCTCTGTACAGCACTTTTCGTTATTAAAGTCAGCTCTTTATTGGGGCAAGGCCATGGTAAGGAAGTGTTATGAGGAGGAAATAACAAGAACTAGGGGTCACCAAATGAAATTAGTAAGCAACAGACAAAAGGAAGTATTTCTTCACAGAATGCACAATCTGTGGAACTCCTTGCCAGAGGATGTGGTGAAGGCCAAAACTATAACAGGGTTTAAAAAAAGAACTTAGGTAAGTTCATGGAGGATAGGCCATCAATAGCTATTAGGCAGGATGGGTCCCTAGCTTCATGTTTGCCAGAAGCTGGGAATGGGCAACAGGGGATGGACCACTTAAAGATGACCTGTTCAGTTCATTCCTTCTGCAGCACCAGGCACTGGCCATTGTCAGAAGACAGGACACTGGGTTAGAAGGACCTTTGGTCTGACCCAGTGTGGCCCTTCTTAGCAAAAGCCGAGAAACCCCTTTGAACAGATGATGGCAGCAAGCTCCTTGAAATACCTGTGGCCTGAACGTGTAAGCAGACACTTTCTGAAAAAAATAATCTAATTAAAATCCATTTTCCCATCAAAACCACTCCCACCCAGAGAGGCCTAGAGCCCTAGGGAAAAGCCAGAAGGAACCACAAAATCGTCTGGTCTGACTTAAGTATCACAGGCCACCAGCCCCAGCCTTAATCAAACCACTCCACATTTGGACCAGTCCACCTGGCTTCCACTGAGCACAGCAAGATTCAAATCAATTCAGGCATGAATGTGGATTTCAGTGCACTTACAAAATATGGGCTGTGAACCAGAGAGTGCACCTCACCCTTAGCTATCACCCTGACCCCTTCCAGTAAATACTATGCCCCCCCTCGCTCCCCCACTTGCTCCACTGGAGCATGCACTTGGGCTGGGATTCTAAGGGCTCCAATGACAAGGCCAGGCTTGAGTACGGGACCCGCTCACACTGCTGGCAGGCTGGTCATGCTGAGTCAACAGAAAGCTTGGCTACGGCAGGGGGAGGCAGTGCCAGACCGCAGTGTGGGCAGACCACACTAGGAACGTGGGGGAGAGGGGGGTCGAGCAGCACAGGTGCAACTGGAGTAGGACCAGAGCAGCTTCTCCCCGGTGCAATCCCAGCGTTGCCATGCTGCTCTCCCATCAGCCTCAGCAACTGAGCCATTGCCCCAGGCACACTCCCAATCACCAACTGGGGTGTGCAGCGGGTGGCATGGCTCCACATGGTGCAGTTCCAGGCTCCAGGTGCTGTGGCTCTCTGCAGATAGCCCCAGGGCATACAGCAGGGTTGCTGGGGGGCTGTGCACAGAGTGGGTCTCCTGCCCCCCAGTGCAAGGCAACCACCCTCCTGCGAACTGTGGCGGCTTCCAAGGCCCTGGGAGGCGGGAAGGGCTGGCTCCTCCTTGTCACGGGGGCAGCACAAACCACAAGGGCCAGAAGGTCAGAATCCCAATGCTTCCTTTTATTGAGTTATAAAAACAAAACACGTTATAAAGACGTGAGAAAAATCGCTGGCTTCTCTTCCTGGAGATCCCGGCAGCGTGGCCCAAGCACCAGCTTCCCCAGCGCTGACTGCCGGCAACAGAAGCATCCCAGCAGGACCTGCTCCTGATCCGTGGCTGCCGAATGGCTGAAAGGTCTGTGTGGGTTATGGCAGAGCCAGGTCTCAGGTGGGAAGGTCCGTGGGAGGGCAGCTCTCCAGGTTCTCAGATGTTCGTGGGTGGGAAGGTCCATGGGGCAGGGCAGCAGCTGTTACGTACGGGCGTTGCGCTCTGTCTCTGCCAGACACTCTCTCACCAGCGCCCGGGCGTGGATAATGCCTGCAAGGGGAAACCCCAAGGGAGGTGCAGCAGGGCACATTGCCAGGGTCACACCTAGGCCTCTGCTGGGATCCCAGGCCTTCTGGAGGCTCTATGAGGTCTGGAATCAGCTCACGGCAGGGCAGAATGCTGGAGGCAGGGTGTGAAGGGGAGTCCGAAGGGGAGCTTCAGCCTTGTGGGAGAGGCACCAGCCAGGCCCCGACCTCCCGTCCCCTGCACAGGAAGTGCAGCAGGGCACATTGCCAGGGTCACACCTAGGCCTCTGCTGGGATCCCAGGCCTTCTGGAGGCTCTATGAGGTCTGGAATCAGCTCACGGCAGGGCAGAATGCTGGAGGCAGGGTGTGAAGGGGAGTCCGAAGGGGAGCTTCAGCCTTGTGGGAGAGGCACCAGCCAGGCCCCGACCTCCCGTCCCCTGCACAGGAAGGATGGAGTGGATCCCAACTCCACAGGCTTTATCTCCTCTCTCATGGCACTGCAGCCACTGGCACCTCAGGCACTGGCAGGGAGCTGGAGCCTTCAGTGGCTGGCCAGGGGCACTCGGGGCTTTAGCTTGGGGGGAATGCATCTGCCCCACAGCCCTTTGCCTCAGAATCTGACATTGCATCCGACAGACACACGCTCACAGGACGGGGCTGCCCATGCCGTTGGCAGGACACAATGACGGCAGCACCCGGTGAGATGGCGGGGCAGCCCGTCCCTTGCCCCGCGATGGGCTGAGACTCAGACAGCACTGCTGTGTCAGTCACACCCATGGCTGCCTCCCACCGCCCAACCCAGCAATGAGCTCAGGCTCTCTGCAGCTTCAGGCAGCAGCACTGCCCTGATCACATTTGGGGCAGGACCCCCAGCAATGGGCTCAGGTTCTCTGCCGGTCACATGCGTCAGTCAAGCCCGTCCCTTGCCCCGCGATGGGCTGAGACTCAGACAGCACTGCTGTGTCAGTCACACCCATGGCTGCCTCCCACCGCCCAACCCAGCAATGAGCTCAGGCTCTCTGCAGCTTCAGGCAGCAGCACTGCCCTGATCACATTTGGGGCAGGACCCCCAGCAATGGGCTCAGGTTCTCTGCCGGTCACATGCGTCAGTCACACTTAAGCCTGACCCCCGGGGCCTCGTACCTCGTTTCAGCCGCTCCATGGCACTCTTGCTACCTGCATAGGTGGGTCGAATCTCTTTGCCCATCTCCTCAATGACAGAGAGTAGGTCAGTGTACGTGCTCTGAGAGCCCTGGGAACCTGGTGGCTTCATGGCCTGCAAGGGGCAGAGAGATCATGAGGGGCCGGCTTTCCCCAGGTCATGCTAAGCCAGGCAGCAGAGGTGGAGGCAGCAGCTCACCTGCACGTAGCCCATGGACGGGGGGCCAAAGTCGTTGAAGAGGGGCCGGAAGGGGGCAGAGGCTCCAGGGATAGATCCGGATGGCGATGGGACACTCGTGGCTGAAAGAGATGGGAAGGGAGAGGTCAGGTTACCCTGGAAACAGCAGCCCTGTTCCCTCCCCTGTGGCCAGTGCTTCTAGCACACAGGGCTCTCCCAAGCTTGCTGTGGGCTGGAGATGCCAGCAAGGCTACAATGTCCTGTTTGTGGCACACGGGTGGACTGGCTCCACAGGGCTCTTAGTGGGGCAGGGCTCTGGCCCGAATGCTGCTGCTACGGGCTATCTGGCCTGTCATTTGCTGTCACCACAAACCAGTGGGGAAGATTCTGCTCCTTACTCCCGCTGCTCTAATGCCCCCCGATTTATTGACCCCCTTCCTGTGCAACAGCCCCGCCAGCTCCTCCAAGCTTGTCTAGTTGGGCTCCTACACTAGCACCATCACCATGGTACCAAGGGTTCCGACAACATCCAGGGACCAAGACAGGCCCACAGCCTGGGAGTCCCACCTCCACGCAGCCTAGCCCCTTCCCCGTGGGCTCAATGCAGACTTTGACACTATGCCCTTCCCTGGATGCAGTTCCATCCACTGTTCTGGGGCGGAGAGGTCCGGGGCAGGGCTGAAAGGACATTAGGGCTCTCGCCCTCTCACCGTACAACCCTACTTGCTAGCTGCGCCATGGGCAGAGAGCCACTGACCTAATTCTGCCAGGTGCATGGAGCACCCAGAGCTAATCGCATTAACCTCCTCAGTGCATAGCACCCACGCACCCTGCAGGCCTTGGCCACAGGAACATATGGGTTTGTCTCATCTTCTGCGGCCCAGTGTTGCAACAAAAAAAAAAAAAAATCTATCTTGGGCAAGAGCCGCCTCCGCCCACAACCCCGGCTCCACTGCCCCTCCTAGTCCCAGCCTGCACATGCTCCACTGTTCCCTGGCCCAGTACTGCCTCCCCAGGCCCTGCTCTAGCATGCTCTAAGCACAAAGCACTTCAGCTCCCACAGTTCACTCACCTTCACCCTGCTCTCTAGAGCCCTCTCAACACCACTTCAGGCTCCCTCAGGCCCCTCAAGTCTGGCCTCTGCATTGCATAGGCCATGGAAACCGCCCCCCCAGCCCATACTGTGTGGCTGTCGCCACTTCCCCTCCGTGTCCAGGCCCTCACAAAAGGGTCAGTGCGAGAGCTTCCCCCACATCACTCACTGTCTGCCTCACCAACTTCCCTCTCACTGTCAGCCTCAGCAACAAGCACCTCTCCATTTGCCGCTGGCCTGGAGGACTCCTTGTTGGACCAGAGAAGCGGGAGAGCCTTGGGTCCCTCACAGAACTGACTGATGTCTTCACAAAACATCTCTCCCAGCTGTCTGTCCGGCATTGGCATGAGACAAAATTGAGATCTTTTAAATCAGCTGACTAAGGCCTTGTCTACACTCGGTGCTACTCCAGAATAGCTGTTCCACATATGGATGCTCTTACTCCAGTTCATCTTAATCCACTTCCTATGCAGACTAAACTAATTCAGACAAGGCACTCTTGTTCTGAAATAAAAGCATCCACACATGTTCATCAGGGAGAGTTAATCCACATCCCAGCTTCTTCCAGGTTGACTTTCATGTGGACAGGCGCTAAGCTTCCCTTCCATGCCCCACAGCTGAGGATTCACTTTTTTGGCGAGGTCACAAGCCTACAGATTGTCCAGGGGTACAGAGAGTCTTACCAGAGAAAATGGAAGATGAGAGCTGATCATCTAACATAAGTCCAACAAGCAGACCAAACCACCACCACAGTAGAGCTTTCTTAACACATCTGCGAAAGCCAACACCCCTCCTCCCCCCAACTGTGACATTTCCTGATTTTTGCATGCTTAAAATATACAGCATCTACTTCAAAGGAAGGTGCAAGATAGTCTGCAGCAGCAGTTATGGGAGAGCCTGCCCTATGGGAGATAGTTATTTAATGTTCTAATAAGACCTGGTTCTGGCAGGGTTATCCCCAGTTAAATATCTGAGCCTTTTCTGTATCTGGCTAGTGATCTCCTAGGGCAGTGAGTGCTACAAGCTTGATCATAGATCCCTGGAGTTAAAGCAGCAAGCCTGATATAATGCCATCCAATGTCCATGTGCCTTAAGTTATGATACAAGGGAACTACACAGTCTTCTCTAGTCCATTCAGCATTTTGTATCCTTTCATCAGCCCTCCCTCTGCCAGGCTGAACCATCCCAACCTCCTTCCAGGGCTGAGAGTTTCTTGTCACTCATCTCTGAAGCCCTTCCAATTCTTCAGTGATGGATTGACCAGTACCGCACATCATTTGCAAAGGAGGGTGCCCCATTGAATTCCAGAAGAGCATGCCAAGGAGTTCAATAGTATTCCTCCAGTCCATTCCTCATGCCCCCACCAACTGTGTTTGCCTCTCTAAGTTGCTGCCCAGCAAACAAAAGGAATCACAAGAGTCGTACTCAGCAGCTTGGTGAGTGGTGATGGTTAATATACAGCCCAGTGAAGTGGACAGTGAGTTCAGATTAGTCCCGCCAATGTGCATTACTTAGCATCTGTCCCCCTGGAATCCCATCTGTCACGGTGCTGTTTTTTTCCTTACCATGGCAGGGCCCCTCAAAAGTGCCCTATCAGCATGACTCCCACCCAGGAACAGAACTGGTCCTTCTAGTGAAATTTATCTCATTATCCATGCAGCTTTTCAGCATTTAGGCTCCTATTTCCTTAGGAGGGAGTGTGCAAGGTTTCACAGTTAACCACAGAGAAGTCAGGAACACTCAGGTCCCAGCTGTGTGCACTACCCTAACCCTCCCTACCCAGTCACCTGTATGCAGAACAAGTCTGACTTCACAATCCAAGTTCTCAAACAACATGTGGTCCTTCCGGCTCAGAGGCTACAAACACGTGCAGCACCTACTACAGGCCAGCAGGCTCTGAAGTAGGTGCCCAGCAGGAGACCCAAGTTCCACTCCTTACTAAGCCATAAACCTTGGAGAAGCCAAACTCTCCCCCTACCCTCAATTCCCCTTCTGTAAGATGGGGGGCACTTGTACTTAATTTAATAATGGGCTCTCGGCCTCAGGATGAGAAGTGCTACCTTGGGACAGAGCTGATCGATCACAACGAAAGGCGAATTACACCATGTCAAAGCTCCAAGGTAGCAGACACAGACCTGCCAGTGATCACATCAGCTTTTCGGTCACACAATGCCCCCCTTGGGTATCCATTCCCAGTATGACACTGTAGTACTGAAGGAGCAGCATGTGCCACTCAGCCTGTGCCAATGGAGCAGGGCAGGGGAAGAGAAGGCCCTGCGGGTGGTAGCTGTGGCACTAACTAGCAGGGGGATTCAGGATGTTGGCAGGGAACAGAATTCCTGTGAGAGCGCACTGGCGAGAGGGGGCTCACCGGTAAGCGGTGCCCCAGGGCCCTCGGAGGTTCAGTTCAGAGACTGAGTGGGCAGGCGGCCAGTTAGGGCTGTTTGAATTGGGGCTGTTCCGTGTGTGGATCGGTCAAGAGAGCGCACTGGCGAGAGGGGGCTCACCGGTAAGCGGTGCCCCAGGGCCCTCGGAGGTTCAGTTCAGAGACTGAGTGGGCAGGCGGCCAGTTAGGGCTGTTTGAATTGGGGCTGTTCCGTGTGTGGATCGGTCAACAGCAGATGGGGGTCAATTGGGGGGGCTGGACTGGGGCAGGGAAAATTTAGGATACAGCTCCTTG